CTTTCCCTAAAATCTTTCAGAATGTGTATGGAGGAAATACAGAATGTATAGTAGAAGTGTAAGTACTATTGAATCTTGCTCACTGAGGGAACTTTTACAAAACAAAACAAAACAAAGTCCAGAAAGCTGCAGAGCAGTCTAGAGGTATTTTTTGAGTACTATTGGCATAGGGCAGGGTGAAGGAAGTCAGTTGAGTACTAATCAGCAAGGCTAAGGAAAGACAGACTGGAAAGCAGTAAACGAAACAATCCCTGGAACTCAGAGCTAGGAATAGTTCATGTTCCCACCAACCGGAATAGAGAGCTTGTAATACCTGAGGCATTGGGTAGCATCTTTGAAAGAGTTGTGCTTTAGCAGTTTGGCCAAATTAGCCCTAGAATAAAAACTGCTATGGATTCACCCTAATAAATCTTAAAAACAAGTCTCAAAACATTCAAAGTGATCTTCAAGTAACTTCCTGTGTACCAGAACGAAGGTCAATACTTTAAAGAAATACAGCAAAATACAGCATTCTACAATGTATAAATTATTCAGTATCCAATCAAAAATTACCAGACATGCAAAGAAACAAAAAAATATAACCCATAACCAGAGAAAAAATCAATCAATAGAAACACCCAGAAATGACAGACATTTTAACAAAGTTATTACAAATATATGCTTGAATATAAGGAAAACCATGAATATAATGATAGAAATGGAAAATATAAAAAATGTAAATAGAAATTCTAGAGATGAATAATACATGAAATTTAGAGCAAATTAGACACAGCAGAGGAAAAGATCTGTGAACTTGAAAAACAACAATAGGTACTACCCAAAATAAAGTATGGAGGAAACAAAAAAAAGAACAGTTTTAGTGAGCTGTGTGAAAATATGAAACTGAGTAACGTGTGCAATAGGAGCCTAGGAATAAGAGAAGAAAAAGGGAGAACATAAATATTGGCCAAAAATAATGATAAAGTCCATAAACCCACAGAAGTTCAAGTAACCCGCAGCAAAAGAAATGTAAAACTTCACCAAGGCAAATATAGTCTAGTTGCTGAAAACTATTAGTAATAAAGAGAAAAATATTAAATGCATACAGAGAAAAAACAAACATAAGAATTACAGTAGACATAAAAAACTGCAATACAGAAATAAAAAGGTATTATTTTAGATTTGCTATCTTGGCTGAGACTGGTGCCAGTTCACCACGAATAAAAGTTTTGGCAAGGACTCTGGGTATTCTACCAGCCATCACTGATAGTCCCATCATTACGAGGTAGCCAATGGTTGAGATCTAAAATTCTTTTTTAGTCAACTTCCTAGGACTAGTCTTAGTTCTGTCTTAGGTTATGTTTCCCATAATAGTGAAACAAATGTTTGTGTGTTGGAGGTTACCGGGAAGTGCACTAGGGAACAATACTTGTAAGAAAGTGATGAAATTGAAGTGAGGCAAAAGAAAAGTCTAATTGCAATGCAATCGCAAGAGAGGCCTAAACCGATCACATAAGGAACTGGAGCTGGGATGCTCCTTCAGAGCTGTTCTAAATTGAGGGAAGGGACAGAACCTTTATACTTCATATAAACCAGTCACTGATTATGGATTGGTTCTGGGGATTTAGCCAACAGAGTTCCTAAAGAGGAATGCAGCCAATATTCCTGGTAGCTGGGGGAATGAATGAGTCAGCAGTGAATGGAGATCTGTGCAGAACACCTCATATTCATTCCAAGGGATCCCTAACATTAAAACAAACACACCAAATGAGGGTTTGTATTGAGAGACAGGCAATGACAATGTTTTGAGTTTTCTTTTACTTTAGTACTTACTGATTTCTCTTATTAAAAGGTAGTCTATGTATTATAGATGATTTGGAATGAAAGAAAGTTTAAATCATCTATAATCTTATCGGTCACTTACAACCCTATGAAATCTTGGAGTATTCTGTCTCCAGAAATGTATGTCTCTTAATGACTCAAGAGAAAGTAGCTCTCTTTTTGTCTTCTAAAGCTGACATGACTAGCTAGGATTAGAGATTAGCAATAATTTGTTTAAATTTATAATGAAGCTAAAAATACAATGGAAAGACCTGCATTCTTCTTCATTATATACACTGTTTCAGACTTTGGTATTTGTGGGTTTTTATCAGCTTTCTGATTTGTAATTTAGAAATTCTAAAGATTGCATACATTTTTAGATTTAGCAGTCTCAATCTGTTTCCTGACTTAGAGGACCTGATTAGTCAGGCAACACCTTACACTCAAGCAAAAAGTCCACATTTCTTTTTCTTCCCGAGCTTAATTGATATTCACGTGTCCCCTCTGCTCAGATTTGTGTTCTACCTGTTGCTAGGCTGCAACACTATTAAGCATTATACTCATTGTTCATTAAACTGAAAATCAAATTCAGACATCAAATCATAAACTGGAACAAGTTACACAATTTAAAAATCACTCAAATGTTGGTTGAAATTTAACTTTTGGAATCAATGTTATATAATAACAAAAATGACCCTATTTGTGTATTTATTTTTTAAGAAAACTATTAGTAAATTAGATTTGGGTGACTCCTAGGCCATAGTGCCATCTGCAGGCCTACTCTGATGCAACTCTAGTTTCTGGGGTCCTCATCTTAAAAGGGATTTGACTCTACTGAATATTCGTGGCTTTATAATGCCAAGTACAAGTGGTATTAATCACAAATATAAGAAAGGTATAGTCGCAGGTACTGATACCCATGAAAGATTTTTAAACCACTGAGGTAATATCAACTGCTATATCCATACTTATAATCAAAACATTAAACATGAATAGGATCTAGAATATATATGGGATGGATATGCATATTGGAATCATGCAGAACTGGGTTCTAATTGTGTCTCCATTACTTATCAGCTGTGTGACATTACAAAATTTACTTAACCTCTCTGAGATGTAGTTTCCTTATGTATACAATGGGATATCATTCATGACGTCAAACTAGGTAAAATGTACAAAATGCCTAGTATACAATGTACATACAATATATCCCCAATAAATAATAGTTCCCTTTTCCTTAAAATTTAAAAAAAGAAAAATATCAAGGACATTTATTGTCTTTGTATCCAGTGAGTGTAAGAGTTATAAAATATGTTATTGCCCTTTTGGAAAAAAGAGTTTGAAGGAACTGTTACTTATTATCCATCCTGTCCTGTAATCTCTTTTCATCTTGATATCTT